TTTAGAACAGGTTAGTTAACTCCAAAATGTTTAATAGGAACTAATTACCATGTGACGTCAATATTCCTCCTAAATCGAATATACTTTAGAACAGGTTAGTTAACTCCAAAATGTTTAATAGGAACTAATTACCATGTGACGTCAATATTCCTCCTAAATCGAATATACTTTAGAACAGGTTAGTTAACTCCAAAATGTTTAATAGGAACTAATTACCATGTGACGTCAATATTCCTCTTAAATCGAATATACTTTAGAACAGGTTAGTTAACTCCAAAATATTTAATAGGAACTAACTACCATGTGACGTCAATATTCGGAGGAGAAAAAAAAAATTGGAGGTGCATTCACATTCGTATACACTATAGATATGTAATATTTTGGTTTTTACATCATACAGAGAACACAAAACCAACACCGATAATCAACGTGAAAATCGTACACTAGACAAATAAACATTTATCTTCGAAACACAAATTCAATGTGAAACTACTAAATATTACCGTACGAATTAACAGTAACAGGATAACTTCTGTTTTACATGTTTGTTGAGTAATACTAGAATATTATTAAATAGAATAAAACGCGAATTCTTAAAACCTCGAACCAGGTAAGGAAAATACAGGTAGAACTATAATATATTGAAAGGCTATTCTACTTCGAAGTTTATGTTACAGATTATGTAATAGCAGAGGGGACGTAAGCTATAAAATATATATATATTACACTGTTATTAAAAGCATTTTTCACAAATGACTGTTGATAATAAATAGCTCTTTCAACAATTAATCTTTTAGCCTCATTTTATTGTTTCAATAAACAGTTCCTTCAACAATTAATCTTCTAGCCAACTATCCTCATTGTATTGGAATCAACAATAAGCACACTTGTTCTGTGACCACCCCCACTTTACGGCTTTGACGACCGTTGGAACTATGCTGACAGCCGTTGGAGGTTTTGGCCCCGATCCAAGGCCGTGTACAGAGTACTGGTACTGGACCGTAGGGGGTTGGGAAACATTCCGCCCCGTGTGAGAGGGAGGGGGCAACTTGAGGCTATATTTCATTGCAGATTTGAAGTAGAAGGCACGATCCTACTGCTTGGAAGAATTCAACCAAGATAAAAATATATTACATTTCGCTTAGGAAATAATACAATACACTTATTCACCTTTAAATGGTTTTCCAATATTTAATATACAGATTTGTGGTAAAAGCATCACGCAACATTTTAAACTCGTGTATTCGGCGAAATATTTAGAATAACCAAAGGAAATTTAGAAGTCATTCGAGTAAACTGAATTCAAAATATTCGACAGTTAGTACAGACAATAATGCTTTCTGTAGTCAAGGAAACGTAATACGATGGAAGATTCCTGTTAGTCAGAAACTTCAGCTGGGATTATACAAAATTTGTGTCGATGGATCTATTTTAAGAGCTTATACCATCATATGAACGTTATTTTAGTCCGAGTTTTTTTTTATCCTCGACTCCAGACGCAGACGAACGATGAAAAGCCTAGGCAGGCTACGCCCCAAATTAAGTTTACCTCTCCCTAACCTAAATATCAAATGTATTCGCCAAGGCACCATCAAACAAGGGTTAGTCTAGACAACAACTATCATGGTTCGTGTTTAGGTATTTACGAGGTTAACTTAGTGTCACTAACTGGTAATATTACTTGTACACTGAACTCTCTCGACAACTATAAATTCCAATAGCAACAGAACACAGTCACGTTATTATTCGTTAGATGTAACACAGTTTGTACGTAGTATTTCACTCTTATTTAGCCAGTATCTCGTCGGAAGCACAAGGAGATAAGAACGAACAAAGTCCAACTTACCCGATGTTGAGCCGGTGTCCGCTCGGGAAGAATGAGCATTTTTGGATGTCGAGAAACTCTGGCCGGGAAGTTGATTTGATTTGTCCTGGGAAGGATGGAACACAGTATCCAATGAGATACATTACACAGGCTAGGATACAAAACACAACTAAAAACAAATAATATTAAAAAAAACGGCACTCCGCGTGATATCTCCTCGTGACACACACATAGTGCTGATTGAGAGTTAGGCCCTACCTCTTCGCCTTCTGTAACTAAGCTGGACTTCAGGTCGGTCAGGTTTTCCGATGAGCGGTTTTCTTCTTCGCCCTCATCTTTAAATACTTTGATCTCATCCGATGAAGCTAAATCATCACTGCCGCCACTACCAACGTGCGGCATTCTTCAAAGTCTTAATCAACTCCCGTATAAAGGAGTAAATTCCTAGTGAAACTAGGCAATTCAACAACTCACTTTGACTAAAGCCTTGCCGACATTAAGACACCTCATTCCTCTGAAGTACTTAACTTTCGGGCAAATCAGATTTCACGCGAAAACGAGACTACAAGTGCTAGCCAATCAGAGTGAGTCGAAGTACACGTAGCGCAGCGCCGTAATGGCGGAAGGTGGATCGAGATGTCCTCGCGGCGTGACTGCACGAGAACGTTCCCTTTCGCTTGTGGCCCAACAAGTTTTCTCGAGTGTGGGACGCGTGATGCCTCGGGCCACTTTGTTTGGTAATCCTCTGCAGAATAGTTTTACCTCTCGCCGAGGGCTTTGTTTCTTCTCAGAGTTTTGTTTAATACGACCGTGCACTGACCAGGCATTTTGAAACAATGAACGACGCCTCGTGTAATCCTCGGAAAGTATATTGGTACACAATTATTCACCAAGTAAACATCTCCACTCCGGAACATATAAGTTATTTAGCGCTGTTCAAACATATACAGTCTCCTTCTTAAAGATACATTTTTGCTGTTTGTTTTTTTCTCCAAAAAAAAATTAAGTACAGCAAACGAAAACTACGTGAATCAATACAGCATTGTGTTTTTGTCTGCTAACTGAATGTGACTCGGGTTACCATATGGAGTGATGAGCTGAGATAGGGTATCTCGGTGATTTTTTAACGCTTATTTAAAAAAAATGAAAATAAGCATTACAAAATATATAACTTTTAATATTCCAAAAACTCAGTGCAAGATTAATATTTTCCCTCTTAGTTATGCGAACTTTTTTATACTATTAATAATTATATTCCTTAAACGCAAATTGGAATTTAGTTCTAAAATTGTCTATCAGAGGGCGCCAGCAAAATATTTATGTTTTCGAATCTTAGCACAAACTACGCATAATTTTGAACTTATAGGCTAATGAGTAGGTAGCTGGTCAACATCCCCCAACTCTCTAGCTACACTTGTCTGACCAATTAATGTGATTTGACCATTACTTTTATGATGCATCTACTTCCTCAAACTGCGGAGCCTGTTCTTGAGCCATTAGAAGCGGACATGAACGATTAGATGTCCAGTTCAGGCTCGCCAGCAAAGACAAACTAAGAATATATCTGTGTATCTTCATTATATTGAAAACTTTTGGAACAGGAAACGACTAATTAAAAACAAAACATCAATTTCCAAAACTAAAATACCGACGATAAAATAATCCTATCCTCTGTTACAAGAGAACGTGCCTATGGCATAGTAGACAAAAGTTTTTTAAAACGTAAAAATTTCAACTGATCCATTGAGACAAGATTTTTAGGCTTAGATAAGTGTTTGTAATATTCTATAATTCTCTTTCAATTTAAGAATGGCACAACAGAGAAATACAATACAGAATTTTCAAATGTTATTGAACTCTACTGCCTTATTTTTTCCTGCGTAAACGATTTATATTAGAATGTACATGATTACATGGAATGTGTTATAGACAAACTTCACCGGAAAGTAAAAACAAATAGAATGTTCATGATTACATCGAATGTGTTATAGACAAACTTCACCGGAAAGTAAAAACAAATAGAATGTTCATGATTACATCGAATGTGTTATAGACAAACTTCACCGGAAAGTAAAAACAAATAGAATGTTCATGATTACATC